CTGTCATGAAAGCGAACGGCTGGAATATAAGTCAGGCCATGACTGCTCTCACCCTAGGCCTACGCGACCAGGCATTAACTGTTCTGGAAGCTCTCGGTAAGGAAGTGACTTACGAGCAGCTCCTTGAGGCATTGGAGGCGAGATATGGCGATGCTCACCTGGAACACGTCTTTCGTGCGCAGCTCAAAGATCGCGTGCAACGCAGTAACGAAAACCTGCAGCAGTGGGCCCTTGAGGTGGAGAAGCTGGTTCGAAAAGTGTACCAGTCTGTACCTGCGCTCATTGTAGGGAACCTGGTGCAGACATTCATCGACGGCATCCGCGACCTTGAAGTCAGAGCTGCTGTGAGGCTCGGGCACCACGAGACGCTTAAGGGCGCCTTGGCCCATGCACTGGAGGCATAGATTACCTCCTAATAGATTCCGCATACAGGGCCACAAACGCGCGCAACACATACTTGCTGTAGCTAGCATACGAAGCGAAGCTAAGAATCACGACATCAGTATCGACCAAGTTTGTGATCCGTAGGCACGTCCGAGTTCTTGACAATTTAAAAATAGTTTTGTATCCAAATGGCTTCCTGAGCAGTAAAATGGTGTGACAAGTCAGCTAAGACATCCAGTTATCAAAAAGATGGCATAAATTTTAATTGGTAAGTAAATTCTATTCTTATCACGTTAACCTATTTCAAATGCACCGGAGATCAACTTATACTGGTATATTAATGGTGCAAAGTGATAACAATTAAGCACCCGTTGATGTCTTTTTGAAATGTCCCTTTCACTCGTTACGTAAATTACAATAGTTGTCTTTGTCTAACAACAGCACGTGTATCGATAGTGTTGTGATTTTTAAGTCGATATTTGTTTGGTCATCGTTTAATTATTTTTTTCGAAGTCATATTATTTTATAAAAATAGTAACGTATCATTGTGGTACCTATATGTTATAGGTTTCCTAAATGCCTCGAAAGGAAAAAAGATGTGGATCGACGCAAATTGTCGAGGGGACGAATGGTTTCCCACCAAAAATAGTGTACTATGCTCAAAACACTTCACAGAAGGCAATCTTCATAATATTATGAAAAATCATATAAAGCTGTTGGATTCTTGCCAGTTTTGGTATGGACTTTTGCATTTTTTTTAAAGATTAGTACTAACGTGGATTACACAATAATATCAATTAAGTGGTTGAGTGAAACATGATATTCTTATATTTAGGTAAATGTGACACGTCGAAATCAAGCTATTTTGAACGGATTTATAAATCACAAAACTTGTAAAAGTTATAATGTGATTATTGTTCTGACTTGGTATTTAGTGTTACATGAACTTCAGTATTATCTTATTATAATTATTAAGTACATCTAAATTTGGAAGACGTGCCGTATGGTGTATTAATTAATAATACTATATCGGTAATGTTTTAAAAGAAACGAATATGTATTTCTGATTTAGATTACTGGTTCACCGCTGAAAGACGCGAAAAACCCGTCAACACCTAAAAATCAGAGTCATTGCTTAGAAACGCCTACAAAACAAAAAAGAAAATTTTCTCCTATACCTGATACGCCACCTGCATTTGATACTCCAGTTAAAAACGTCTTTGTAGAAGAATCATCGAATTAACCAACGTAATGAACAAAAAAGATAAAAAAGTTAGAAAGTTAAGTGATTCAAACAGAAGACTAAAAACACAAATAGTTTCTTTGAAGTCATTATTGGTAGAATTAGAAAACGAAAATTCATTAGCAGCGGAAAATAATGACGCATTAAGTTCCTTAGAAAAATCAAAATCTAGAAAATCAGGCAAAATTGTTAGAAAAAAATATTCACCACAATTAAGAGCGTTTGCACTCACCGTAAATTACTCAGCTAGGCTTATAATTATGTACGCAAAACATGTAATACTTCTTTACCTTCTGTAAAAACACTAGGAAATTTTGTAGTTTTAACACAATCAATTAAGCTTAATCATAAATAATAATTATAATAAAATAATATATATATATATATATATATATATATATATATATATATATATATATATATATATATATATATATATATAATAAAAATAATAAATATAAATAAATAAGCAGTTTTGTTAATGATGATATTTTTCATGAAATAAAAAAATCACCAATTCGATCACGAAAGTTGTAATCATGTCATTGATTTAGCTAAGAGTGTTATGGAAAAATACATAGACATACTCGTAAGATTACTCTACTCATCCAGGAAGACAGATCCTAAGAATTCTGTGAGACAATTTTATACTAAGATTATCTATTTTAAAAATCAGTCAAATATATATTTATAAATTAAATGTACAAATATATGTATACAATGTTTAATTTTTTAATAAACATCAAATAAAAATTGATCAATATATTTATTTATCATTATCAATAATCAATAAATCTCAAATTTATCGATCAACGCCTCAACCCTGTTCCATCACTATGGTTTGGTACATTCTAAGTTTGACCTTTAAATATCCAATCACAGCGCATTTGCCACGTCCCCCGCAACCCTTGCATAGGGCCAAATTTGGTGAACTCGAAACAGAACAAATATTCAATGATGCGGTATCTATTAGGAGGTAATCTATGACTGGAGGTGAAAGCCGTGCGGCAGGATCATCGTTCCCGCCGCGTCAGGGAGGTTGCAGCAGCTACAGTTCAGGACCGCAATAAGGGCTACAGCCCTAGGTGCTACGGCTGTGGGGAAAGGGAAGGTGATCGATATCGAGAGGGTAGTGTGGCTGACAGCACCGCCCAGCAGCAGCAGGGAAACTGGCGGGTGCTGGCTGCTGTTAAAAGAGCCCCAAGGATTTCGATCTCACAAGCCCGTGATGGAATCAGCCTGATCATCAAGGGCGAGGTCAACGGAAAGCCGTGTAAACTGACCATAGACACTGGAGCCTCTCGCACGGTTGTCAGTTCCCAACTTATAAATCAGTTTCTTGGGGACTCCGCATACAACCGCGAACGCATTAATTTGGTGACAGCCACCGGTCAGCGCATACCCGTCCGTGGAGAGAAGGAGATGGAGTTGAAGCTAGGCAACATGATCTACCTGCATAATGTCATCGTGGCTGATATAATGGACGACTGCATCCTGGGCCTAGACTTTATGAGGAAGAATTGTTGTGAGATCGACGTTAAGCAAGGTGTTTTGAAATGTGGACAAGAGGAACTTTTCGTGGAAGGGGCGTTACCAGGGAATGTGTACAGCCTTAAGAAGATTGTTCTTCCGCCGAGATCGGAAACGATTGTGCCGGTTAGTCTTCCTCGGAGTCCTGGGCAAGCTCATCGTTGTATACTCGTGGAAAGGGTAGACAATAACCTTCCATGGAAAGTGGCTCGAACCTTGGTCAGAACCACCGACATCTCAGGAGTACGTGTGCTGAACCTTTGTGATCAGGAACAGATTATAGAAAAAGGCACATTGGTTGGTACTAGTGAGGAAGTGGATTGGTTGCGTCGGTGCGAATATCTATCGACCGGGACCCCCAGCAAGGATGGTCAAACGAGAGTGACCACACTTTTAGAAGACTGTCGCAGCGTTCTTACCCCGAATGAAATGGTCAAGGCGAAGAAGTTGTTACTCAAGTACGCCAATGTTTTCTCGTCAAACGAAGCTGACATAGGAGACTGGCTTAGTTCAACACAAAATAAACACAGGACAAGAATAGCCTATTCGTCAGCGGCCAAGAAGATTGCCTGTAGCACGTGAAAAGGAAGTGGAAACCATGATTGAGGGAATGGTGAAGGATGGTGTTATTGAATCTTCATCTAGTCCATGGTGTTCACCTGTGGTGCTGGTAAAGAAGAAGGACGGCAGCATGCGGTTTTGTGTTGACTATCGCCGCCTGAACGACATTACAAAGAAGGACAGCTATCCCTTGCCAAGAATTGATGACACGCTGGACATGCTTACAGGAGTAAAGTGGTTTAGTACGCTGGATCTGAAAAGTGGCTACTGGCAGGTTGAAATTGACCCTAAGGACAAGGAGAAAACTGCATTCTCCACAGGAAAGGGTCTGTGGCAATTTAAAGTCATGCCGTTTGGATTGTGCAATGCTCCAGCAACGTTTGAAAGGTTGATGGAGCTTGTACTTACCGGGCTAATTGGAGATGCCTGTCTGGTCTATTTGGATGACATCATCATCGTAGGCCGTACGTTTGATGAACACCTTCAAAACCTGGAACGTGTGCTCACAAAGATCCAGAGTGCCAACCTCAAGTTGAGTCCGAAGAAGTGCTCACTATTCAAACGGCAAGTTAGTTTTTTGGGGTATGTAATGTCGGAAGAAGGTATCCGCACGGATCCAGAGAAAATTGCCGCTGTCAAGGAGTGGCCAGTTCCAAAAGACAAGACACAGGTTAGAGCATTTTTGGGTTTGTGCTCTTATTATCGGCGATTTGTGAAGAACTTTGCAGATATAGCCAAACCTCTGCACAAGCTAACCGAGGAGAAGCGACATTTCTGCTGGGATGAAAGTTGCGATATTGCATTCCAGGAGCTCAAGAACCGTCTGTGCAAAACTCATAAGAATTTATAGTTGACACAGACGCAAGTGATATAGGACTTGGCGGTGTGTTGTCTCAACGGAATGGTGATCAAGAGATTGTGATAGCGTACTTCAGCAAGTCGTTGTCAAAGCCGGAAAGGAACTATTGTGTCACAAGACGGGAATTGCTTGCTGTGGTAAAGTCCTTGCACCATTTTAGCAAATATCTCCTGGGGCGGAAATTCTACTTACGAACTGACCATGCTGCACTGAAATGGCTATTGCAGTTCAAAATTCCGGAAGGATAAGTTGCGAGATGGATTGAACTACTTCAGGAATACGACTTTGTGATCGAACATCGCAGCGGGAAATCTCATGGCACTGCAGATGCATTATCAAGAAGACCTTGCCCTGAAGATTGTACTAGGCAAGAGGGTAAAGAAGTGATATCTGCGAGAATATTCAGAACAGACCAGCTCAGCAATGAATGGAAGGACAGCCTACAACATGCACAGCAGGAAGATTCGGACATTAAGCCGATTCTGGACGGCCAGTGCTCCTAAGCCCAAGTGGAGCGACGTCTCAGCTATGAGTTCGACCACGAAAAGCTATTGGGCCCAATGGGACAGCTTGCTGATTCAGGATGGAGTCCTGTGCCGTAAATGGGAAAATGGTCGGGGAGACAGGTGTCATTTGCAAATGGTTGTCCCTAAGGCTAAAGTGCCGGATGTTCTACAGCTGTACCATAGTGGTTGTTCAGGAGGCCACCTGGGAGTTAAACGAACTCTCCTGAAGATCCGAGAACGGTTTTACTGGGTCCACTGTCGTGACGATGTCGAGGACTGGTGTCGCAAATGTACAAGTTGTGCGGCTGTAAAGGGACCTCAAATTCGTAGTAGAGGCGCATTGAAATTGTACAATGTTGGTGCACCATGGGAGAGGATAGCCATTGACGTTGCGGGGCCGTTTCCAGAAACTGAAAGTGGTAACAAGTATTTCATGGTAGTGATGGATTACTTCACTAAGTGGCCAGAAGTCTTCGCCATTCCAAATCAAGAAGTTTCAACAGTTGCAGATAAACTAGTTCATGAAGTCTTCTGTCGTTTCGGAGTACCTTTAGAGATTCACAGCGATCAAGGAAGGAATTTTGAGTCTCAAATATTCCAGGAAACTTGCCGAGTTATGGGTACTCAGAAAACACGAACAACTTCTTACCACCCACAATCTGATGGAATGGTAGAAAGATTTAATCAGACATTGGAGAGGTACCTAGCAAAAGTTGTGGAAAAACGGCAACGAGACTGGGACAGGCATATACAACCGTTTTTGTTGTCATATCGAAGCGCTGTTCACGAAAGTACATCAGTGACACCAGCTTTCGCAAACTTTGGGAGAGAATTGCGGCTGACTGCAGACCTAATCACCGGAATACCACCTGATTCCCCACGCAGTATAACCGATTATGCAAATGACTTGCGGAACAAAATGAATGACATTTATAAGCACGTCAGACAGACGGGCCAGCAAACGTCTGAGAAGATGAAAACACGGTATGACCGCAAAATGAACAACAAGGGGTTTGATGAAGGTTCACTAGTGTGGTTACACAATCCAGTTCGCAGCAAAGGGAAATCTCCTAAGCTTCAAGCTAAATGGGATGGACCGTACCGGATTGTGACAAGGATCAATGATGTAACCTACCGGATACAGAAAGGTGCCAGAGGTACTCCTAAGATTGTCCATGTGGATCGACCATGGATCGACTGGCGCGTTATTATGGGGCCAATAATGCTCGGGACGAGCATGTCTTAGGAGGGGGCAGTGTTGCGCACCACTATTAATGTCTTGTACATGGCAACACTAGCGCCCCCTAGTGTCGAGTAAATGAAAGTATTGCGCGCCTCTACTAGGAGAGTCGAGATTCTTCCAGAAATTTCGGAACCGATATGTACTCGAACATTCTAGATGTCGCTACAGTAGAAGGTTCTGGAAACTATCTGAGGCCCTATATAAGGCCGGTATAGACAATGACCGGGGCAGTATTGAATTGGCGATACAAGAGAATACTTCGAAGCGAAATAACGGCGAACTGTGTTTTATTATTAGTGTGATTTTAGATTGTAATTAGTGTTGTGTAATTAAAGTGTCAATTTTGGTAATTCTTCGGCAGTTTTTAATTGTCTCGAACCCCAAGCTCGTAACAATATTATATCCCATAGTGAAAAGCCAGAATAATAGCAACTTATTGCGGTGAAAATGTGGCCAGTTTAGAAGCATCCTTAACTATGCACATACGACTAAAAGTGATATGGTCCGTACTCCGTACCACTCAGTATAGAGCTATATATAATGTACTGTGGTATAGAGATCTATACGTACGACCGGCACTACGCGAATGGCCCCACAAAGTACTTTTTATTTAATAGTCTACATCTCCACAATATGAGCACACTCGTCATTTATCATTTTAATTATTTTTGGGGTAATTCATACTATGGAGTTCAGTATGAAGAAATATTTTTTATAAAAAAACCTTCCATATTATTTTACCAAAATAAATTAAAAAAACGCAAATAAAAATCAGAACTTTTTTATTTACTGGAATTTGGAAAAAATAGAAATAACATCTCAAAGGCGGACGTGCGCTGGCTTTGAGCTCTGTACAACCATAAACTTAGACGTATAATTAATTATAATATACTATACTATACTCACAACACAATTATTGTAGTTGTATAAATGTAAACCGATAATTTGACAACAGGAATTTTGTTTTGCATCACATTAAAATATAATTGCCTTTTTTGAATTTTACAAGAAAACAAAATATTGGCACACTATTGTTTGATATTTGAACAAAATTATGGCGAGCTTTCTGCGCTACCAGCTGAAAATTAAAAATAGGTGACGTATTCTTAAAAAAAATTAACACTATACTGTTTTACGTAAATATTAATTAACAACTAACATAAATTCTAACTCCTAGTGATTTAAAACTAATACTGAAACACCAAGCTGACTTTACATTAAACATCACACATATACTTATTAACTGTAGCTACACTTACATTTTTTTTTTACTTTTCTTAGGTGTTTTTTTAAACAACGCTCTGTACAAACAATTAAAAATTTTGTGTTTACGTTACAATATATATTATATACTTAAATATATGCGGTATACGCAGGAAAAAGTAGGGATCAAAAATCGTGGGCGGATTTTTACGTTTTAGAGTCAAGATATTAAATGTAAAAGTTTTTAATTCTCAAGGAAATTCAACTACATACTGTAAGTTGTTATCAAATATTTTACGTAAGGAATGACATGCTGGATGGATATTGTAGTGAATTTTACTTTTAAAATACTTATGTGATATAATTCCGGCCAAAAATAATCCGTACCAAACACTTATTACCTTATACACCTTACGCCCACTTAACAACCTTTCCCCAACCAATCCTACCAGATTGTGACCCAATCACAGCCAAATACAATAAACATTCCAAAAATATTTCAGTAAATTTCGATGTGCGCATAAGAGAAAACTGGAAGGTAAGAAATATAGTGACAAGAACATCAATTATTTACATAATATAGTTATGCACTATGACAAATTTAATTGCATTTAATGCCATATACATTGGCTGTATACAAACACAGCTAAACATCAATACATTAAAGTTATACTATTGTATATAATATTATGTAATTATGATCATATTAATACAGACATTTGGCACATGTTACCTATGAATTTATAATTTAAACAAGTTTTTGCTGTTTCAGATACCTAAATGTAGGTTCTGTTAAATTTCTAAAAAATACACGGGTTATTCTCACTTATGATAAATAATGAAAAAATGCAGACTAGGCTTGTCATTAGTGAGAAAATAATATGTTAACAATATGAAACAGCCATTTCCATGTATGCATACCATATGTTGCCGCCTATGTTACTTCTAAAAATATGACTACCCAAGCACCAAAGTTTTCTTAAACTGACAGTTCTATAGATGAGATCAAAGTAGATTACTTACGTGTTTTATTGTAGCATGTTAATACTTGTCATGACTGAAATTTTTCTTTTGGGAGATTCAATAAAATCGATTGCGAAGTGAACTTGAGATCGGTTGACTAACCTATTTAATGGAAACTATAATTTAGCCGAGTGAATATGTACTGACTTACATAATCTTAACTTAAATCCAACAATTATTTACACACTTGTATAACACGTGAGACGTGAGACAGAGCATAGTTATTACATTCTACTTGTCTTGACATAATTAATTATAAATGTCTCCATTTTCTCCTTAAGAATGTTGACTTTCAACATAATATACTTCATGCCAGCGTGTTATATCAAGTGATGGTTGACACTTAAAAACAGATATTAGCAACATAAAACTACCTTATAGTATTGGCTTAAATTTTACAATTGTGCCTTACAAAAGGAATGATACAAAGGCCCTAACATCTACACAATGTAATGTAAAACATCGTCCTCCTACAAAAATATCTCAGAAACCCTGTCAACCTCGACAATTTTGCAGCACCAATGAACACTTAGGGATTAAAAAATTACGAAAAAATACCCTGTCAACAAAAAGTCGACTAAATACTTCGACTAAAGTGAGTGGTGCTGTTTAGAAGTCTAAAGAAAATTTTATATGAGAAGATAGTATGTTATCTACTGTTGTTTCATTGTTTTTTTGTTAATACTTTAAAAATACTTGATTTTGTAGTTTTGATAAAATTTCTGTACAGAAGAATAATTGTTAACCGATATGTAGTTTAAGGAGTATTTGAGCAATTTTTATTAAAACTATATAGAATTATCAGTCAAAAGGATTTCAATATTTAGCTTTGCTTAACGATGTCAAAACATAAAATATTTCGGACACCTTTAATGTTGAAGCTTATCCAATCATATACCATAATATTTCAATGTCTTGTTTTATGAAATTAACATTTGAAATTTCCACGGACTGCCATCAGTCATGTTTTGTATGAAACACTCCTTAGAAAGTGACTGACAAGGCAAATAACGGATAAAATAACCTTCATAGAAAATATTATGAGTATAAAAACAATGTCCATTAAAGGATTGTTACTAAACTTCCAGCTTGGTCCACCATCCTACAATCAAATCTCAAATGCTCACCTACATATTACTCCTCGCATCGTTAAGTACAAATTGACAGCACAAATTTACATTTTAGATTTTCAAATTGTCAAATGCCGCTTTAAAACGGCTTTACACTCGAAAATCTGAGTTTCATAGCAAGAATAAAATGCAGGAATAAGGTTTCAAATGCATATTATTATTGCTACGAAAATTTTGTATGGAAATAGTACATTATGAATTTTTAGTGGCATTTAGCAAACAGCATGAAGGCGTGATTCTTTTAAAACACATTTTATCTGGTCTTGAATGCTGTGTGACGAAAAAGCCAATCTTAATTATATCGGAGGTTTTTACTAATGCAAGGGGTAGACTTTAGACAAAACTTTATAAAAGATTTGTCATGGATATTTAGAGGCATAACTTAAAACAAATAATCCTCAAGTTTTTAGAAAACTTGATCATTAAAAATTGAGCTAGGAAGGATTTCATACAGTCTCCCTGTACGTAAAATATACAATAGTTAAACAATTGAATTATTCATATATGATACATAGTACAGGGATAGTGTTATCTTAACATAACCATATTTATACTAAAGAAATTTAAGAACACAAAGACAATTTATTATGAAGAGAAGATATTTTACCTCAATAATTTCTGTTAGTAGAAGGAAGATAGAAGCATCTTAATACAATAAATTAGTTATGTAAGAAATATATAATTAATATTATGCAAGTATCAACAAACAGATTGTAATAATCAATAACCTTCCTAGAATTTTTCAGAAATAGGAGAATTCCATAAATAACTATACCACTAAAAATTCAAAATGTAAAACTATGCTATGTACAAGTGTAAAAACATTTTTAGCAATTTAGAAATATTAAATGCATTACACAGAAACTTGTGTTACTATAATTGACAAGTATATGTTAAATACTGCACATAGCATAGTCTATTGTTTTTACAACAAGAGTTTATCTTTAATTCGTATACCGTTTTCGATCAGCGTAATCGTTGTTGAATTGCCCCCAATATTATAGATTATGGATTACCGCACTTGTTACTGTTGTTTGTGATATGTGATAATTTTTTTTAATATGTTACTTTTTATATGATATGGATTTATTTACTGACTTAATACAAATTTCTACTGTCATACAACAATAATATGTATTTAATAGTGTGATAACAGGTTTTAATATATGGAACTGAAAACTAACTTTGTGTAAAAAAAATTGTAAGTTCAAGGAATACAAATAATTAAGTCTTAACTTGTGTTAATTTTATTACACAAGTTAAGATTCACTGTCCGCAAAAAGACAAAATAGTTAAACAATACTCACGGGACAGTGAAATGGGTAAATAGGATGACTATGTGATACATAATTTATATACAGGTTGGGAGTCCATGGAATGAATGTTTGAAGTAAATTAAAATTTAAAATAAGACCTCTAATAGATTCCAAGTTCTTTACAAGAGAGTACCATATAAAAGAGAAAACTGTAGAAAATAATGCCTTATAGACTCCTGGTTAAGGTTGCTAGCTCCCGTTTTAAGTTTTAGAGGATTTAATAAGATTAAATAGAGGACATAAGATAAAAATAGAGGATAACATATCTTTTTCAATAAGATGTTATGGGATCAGTAGCGACATTGATTAATAAAAAAAAAACAATCTTAATACATAATGTAACATAATTTGTCTGTAACAGATCTTACATCATTGCCTTGACCTTTATAAAAGATTTCAAATTAGGGGACACGATTAATATTTGGGTGTGAAATAGAGGACGTCCTATAAAAGAGACCTGGCAAACCTATTGTTGATTCAAAATAAAAAAAATTGTAGAAATATTTCACAAGCAGATATTTTGCAAATGATTAGGGAAGTAAAGTGGACAGTGAACAAGTGCAGTATAGCAGTGGGGAGCGTGGCGTTCACTTGTGGTCGGCGTGGTGCGGCTGGTGCTGATGCTGCTGCAGCTGCGGCAGCTGCTGGTGCGGCGCCAGGGCGGGCGCCAGGGCGGGCGGCGCCAGGGCGGGCGGCGCGGGGAGCGGGGGCGGGTAGTGCGCTGGGTAGTAGTGCTGCACTGCGCCATACTCCACGCTCTCCTCGTACCCCATGTACCCCATGCCGCCCATCATACCCATCATCGCTGCCGAATGACCAAACAACACTTTAACTCAATTACTCTGTAATTATTACCCACTAAATTACTGAGTTAAGATTTGTAATGCTGTGTTTCATATATGGGTGCAACCATCAGTCCATAGATTAAACCTACATGCATTAAAAATGTAACAATGTGTGCATTGTTGGCAACCTATAAATAAATAAATTATCACTGTCAGTTTTGGTGCGCACTTGACTGCACATGAATAACTACGCCCACGACTTTTTAGGCGCCAGAGTGGCGTTACTTGGAAATAAGATGAAATCTTTAACAAAGTGCATGGCATGTAAGTTAATTTGTTAGAAAAATGTATTATTTAATGTTTCTTTCTTTATATTTTATATTAATTAGATTAGAAATGTATAAACCAAATTACGGATATTCCTACAAATGGAATTATCAAAAGAGATTAAACTGTAAAAATATTAAAGAGCAAATCACTGACGCATTATATACAATACTTTAGAAACTGATAAAATATTATTTAAAACGCAACTCCTCAATTATATGACGTTGTGTAACAAAATGTTCACCTCAGTCCCAACTAGCGACATCTGCCGAACGCAAGATTATTAGCCCTCGTTACTGTCAGTTTCGAAGGGAACTTAACCACATAAGAATTGCAGAATGTTGCTTTTGTATTGTAGTTAAAATAATGTCTCAAAGTTGATTTTCCATGCATTAGCTTGCCCATGTCAGTCTTAGTTGGTTGCCAGTCAGTTTTCTACCGACTTCAAAAAGGAGGAGGTACTCAATTCGACTGTATGTTTTTTTTTATGTGTAACAACACACCTCATAACTTTTTCTGGGTGAACCGATTTCGATGATTCTCTTTTTATTTGAAAGCTGGTGCTTCTCATGTGGTCTCATATAAATTTGATAAAGGTCTGACCTTTTTGAGTTATACTTAATAATTTATATTGAAGTCGGTTGTACAAAATTTTTAATTTAAAATTATATAAAGAAAAATTATTAAAGCAAACTCTTTTCCTTACACACAGTAACTAAAACTGTAGTAATTGAATAATTTTATATTTAACTAACTTCAAAAAGGAGGAGGTTCTCAATCCGAACGCTTTTTTTAAATATATGTTCAGCGATTTCTTCACAGATTGTGAACCAATTTAGATTAGTCTTTTTTTTATTAAATAGGTTATACTTCAACGGTGGTCCCATATAAATTTTCAGAAATAATTCCACCCCGAAGGGTAGCAAATAAATGATAAATAACTTATTTATTAATAATTTCAAGTCGGGTTTTACTTTTTGTTAAAAGTTATAATTGTTGGAAATATTAAATTTAAACACATCAACTTTATTAGCCACTTTTCTGTAAAAATAATCAACTAATTTCTAACATTATATCTTTTCAAATATTTTTAACATAAAATGTTTAAATAAACTTGTCTTTCACCCATCAATATTATAGTTACATTGTCATCTATTGGCGACCAAGAAATATTTCTGGCATTTTCAATAGTTGTATTTTATGGTCATAAAATTTAAAATAAAACCGGCCAAGTGCGAGTCGGACTCGTGCACCGAGGGTTCCGAACAAATCCGTAAGTACATAAATTTAAAATTATTAAAAATATTTTTATATATGATGTAACTAAAAATTTATGCTTTTCCCAATTTTTCCTTTATCTGTGCTATAATACGTTGCTTCGTACCAAATTTTAAGATTCTGAGTTCACGGGAAGAACCCTGTAGGTTTTGATTCCCTTGCGAGTGTCGAAGATTTTTTCTTTTCTTTTTTCTTTTAGTTTTTTTTTTTAAAAAACGTTACCCCCACACTAGGATTTTTTCCTGTATCGTGGAGGCAGTTTACAAACATAGATTACACGAGGACAAACATCCAGACCCGGAACAATTATTTGTAGGCCATACAAATACTTGTTCCGTGCGGGATTCGAACCCGCGGCCCCCAGCGCAACAACTCATTGCTAAGCCACTGCGCCACGGAGCCGTCTAATATTTGCGGCATAAACGGCTGTATCTTTTGATTGCGTTGGCTTAGAAGTTTGATTTTTTCGTAGCTTCAAGAGATAGTAGACTTGACTATTTGATATGAATTTCAGCTTGATACCTCCACGCGTTCCTGAGAAAAAGGGTCTTGAGAGACAGACAGGCGGACAACAAAGTGATCCTATAACGTTCCGTTTTTTCCTTTTGAGGTACGGAACCCTAAAAACAGCCATTTTATATTTTATAAATGGTTATGTTAATTATTATTCGTACTATAGTAAAAAGTTACAAGTAATGTATAGTACTCACCAGGATCAGACTCGACGGGGTAGTAGGGAATGGGGTAGATGGGCGGCGGGTAGGGAATGTAGGGGATGGTCAGCAGCGGCTGCTCCATCATGCACTCGCCTTCCACAGAGTTGTTGTAGCCCATGTGCGGCGGGTTGCGGCTATCTGTGTGCGAGTTGCGACTGAAACAAAAAATATACATCCGTTAGTTCTTCGTGTCTAATCATATTTTGGCGCATGGTAACCTCTTTGACACTACAATGGTGAAAGTAATCTTTTAAGGGTATTCCAAGATAGGCTTGACCGTCCCATTTAGAGGCATTGGATACTAATACATTTGGGTGGGAGATTCAAATTTCTTAACTGATTACTCTCGTCTTGGCACTTAAGTTTTCAACCTAAAAAATTCAATGTGGTAGAGCCACCCTGCAGTCGTATTATAGTTGTAGCACAAATGGTTCGACTCGACTGGGGTAGGACCACGCTTTCACAGAATACCAGCAGTGTCGTAAAATAGTAGCTTAATGCTACTGTCTTTTTTATGGTGAATGTAGAGAACCAGAGATCCTCCCTTTGGCCCCAGGGGCGCATCTGCATTTTGATTTTTAATCGAGGATAAATGTAGATATAAATGGGCCTCAGCATCCACTTACCATCAGATGGACTGTATGCTCGTTTGTCAACTATATTCTATAAAAAAGAAGATTGATATAATTTAATTTTATATCCTTTTTTTTTACTAGCATAGTTTATGTAAATTACTAATAAATGTGTATGGATCTTTACCTAAAACAAACATTATTCATATTGTTAGGAATGCGGGTAAAAAATAAAAGAAAATAAGAAATATTGAAGGTAGAACTATGATCTCCCACTTGTTTTAGCAGTATAAAGTATCACGCAGTCGACTAAGAGGGATCAGTCAGTCTGTAATTCTAAGAGTACCACTGTCGTTACTATGCCCGTTGGGGTATTCTACTAGTGTAGGCAAGGAAGGTCGTATTGCTGAGAGGGCTGCCCTGTGTTACATTGAGATTGGTAGTGATGCTGTTGGTTTGCATACTTTGGTGTTATCATGTAATTGGATTCTGATAGTAAGCAGGGTTTGTTACTGGGTAGTGTTCTTTTATTTAAATAATTTTGAGAATAATTTTTAACATCAGAAGTGGAATAGTTTCTAATAATATTATTATTAAATGTATTCCGTTTTACAAAGTTACACAAGAAAGCGAAACTAATGTAATGTTTTCTATATATGTGTGATATGCCGATTCTGTTCCTTAACGGAAGAAACACATCTGCACATCCTAACTGATTGTGGACCCTTAATGTGCAAATGTAACAGTCCTCTTAGTCCTGGAAATGAAGCTAAAAAAATGGTAAAACCTCGCAATTTTTTCGTCCAACACCGATTTGTACAAAAAGGACAATGGCAGACTTTCATACATAAAATTAGTTGAGAAGAAATGGTAGCGTCTATATACCAAAAATATCTTTAAATGTTAAGCGTCAGTCCCTTAATAACTCTGTCAAAGAATTTTGTCCTGAGAAGGCGTAAAAAAAAAGATATTTACATTTGAAACTTTTTAGGTTATGTCCTATGTCACTTGGAAAAAGTCATGCTTCCTGTGGTTGTTTGATGTTAGCTTAATACATATAATACATAATTGAAAGTTTTTAGATTATTGTATCTCTATTATATATATGCATACTATAAATGTATATTTCTGGCATGGCTCAATAGCCTTTGTATCATAGTGACATTCTCAGAAGGGCTGGAACCCAGAGCCGTAAAGCCAGTAAAAAAAACAGTGACATTTTATTTTAGCTAGTGTTGGCATAACATTAAATGGAATTGTTACATAGTAACTAACTATGATTGAGATAATGTATTATTGTAGGAAAGGAAAAAAAAAATGAGATAATGTATTCTTTGTAAGAGACTTATTCTCAGCCATATTACTTTTATTTTTATTATTACTAATAGTACAGTTCTTACTAATAAAAACTTAATATAAAAATATTTTGTGTGTTGTGTTGGTAGTCTTACAAAGTGTATACGAAAATAGTATGAATATACTAAATGGCAACATTTGAATAGAGTAAAATGATTGAAGTCATTTGATATTCCCAAAAATGTTTTTTTTTCTGTGGCTTTAATTAAAATTAGAGATGCGCCGAATATTCGTTTGGTATTCGGTATTCGGCGTATTCGGCACCTTATTCACTATTTGTATTCGGCCGAATTATTCGGTTTTGGTGCCGAATATATTCGGTTCAAATATTTAAATTTTCTTACCTATTTATTTTACACAGACTACACAGTAGAGAACAAGAACACAGAACTTCTGTAGTAAGATTTACGTTAAAGCAAAAATGCTAGTTTTATATATCCCTACTTTTGCAGTGTTTGAATAATGTGTTGGAGAAGGTAATAATAAAATAAAGCAATTAAACCTCAAAGCAACATTTATTTTTAATGAACACACTTATGTGAGATCATATATAAAAAACCATTATCAAAAGAAATTAATATTTTAGTATTTGTAATTTATCAAGGGTAAGTTATGGTGCAGAAACACCAAGCTCTCAGCCCTCTCTGGCAGTAGTCTATTGCGTTTCTCCTCGTAAAGGTTTCCTGCTTCTGAAAATATTTTTTCGCTGTAGACACTCCTAGCCTTTAGGAATACTCTGGCTAAATTAGCTACATCTTGTAGAGGTCTTCCCCTGTTTGTTTCCATTTCATCTTCGCTTGAGCTTTCAGCATCAGTCGCTTCTTTGAATGGCTTATAGAATAAGCGTTATTCTTACTAGTTTGCATTTTTCAGGAGCAAAAAATATTATTCTAAATCTAGGGTCTGTAGACAAGCAATAGTATTTGTCTTCTTCCTAACTTCGAACTCTCTAAAACGATTCTGAAGTTCTTCTTGTAGCTTCTGTACCATTGCTGGTATATTGGGACATATTTTTGAAATTTTGGGCTTCGTTAAACGTGCCGTGTTACTGTGGGGAATCACTTCATTCAATTCGTGATTTCTTCAAACGGTTTTAATAGAATTAGACATTCTTTCAGAATCAGCCACTGCCTTTCAGTACAGTTTCGAATATTTACTGTGCCAGAATTGTTCGAAATGTAAAGTGAAATCGCACATTTTTGTTCATTGATTTTTTCCAACATATAATACGTGCTGTTCTACCCCGTTGTGACGTCCTATGCAAACTGATGCTCAGCAAGATTCAGTTCTTTCTGGATATTTTTCAGCTTTTCTTGCACCGTGCTTAAGTGGTTGAATTGTGTCACTATTCTTCTAACAGAGGTCAAATCATCATTTACGTTTACAACCTGTAATGAAGCTTTAATCGCCAATTGCAACGTATGTATAAAACACCCCTTGCCTTCACACAGACTTTCATCAATGGCTTTCACCATATTGGGACCATTATCTCTCATAATCACGTAGATATGCGAAGTTATGTCCCAAGTTGCAGATAACTCTTCTAAAACAGAACGAATAAGATCACCTGAGTAAAAGTCAGTAAAATTTTTCGTTTGCAGAACTCTATGTTGTAGACCAAAGTCTTTATAAAGCCAGTGTGCAGTGAAGCTCAGAAAGCTAAGCATGTTGTTCAAACAAGTCTACATATCAGATGTAATCGAAATAGCTTGGGCTTTTGAGATATCATCCTTGATCAATTTTTTCACTCTTTTATAAATTGTCGGAATCACTACTTCGCTCATTTCCAGGCAACTAATATTTAAACTTCAATAAATGCAATAACCTGTTAAATCCTTTATTTTCCAGAATTGAAATTGGTTGATTGTCAGTGGTAATCATTTCAGCGATGGCGTTATGAATTTCCTTTGATCGAGGGTCTGTTATGTCCCAATTTGTAATAAAGGCCTCTCTATAGATTGTTGTGATTTTACATTCGACGTTGTTGGCAAAGTTTCTGAGCTATGCTAAGTGTCAGAAGCACTTCCAGCAGTAGACGTGGTTGCTGGCAGTTGTTATTTATGCTTCAATTTCAAATGATTTGTCATACCACTCGTCGAAGCGCTGCGGCCTGATCCGACGCGAGAAATAACACAACTACATAAAGTGCACCTCACTTTTGTTTTATCATCTTCTATTTCGCTAACCTGCTTACGCGGCAAAACAATGAAATCGTAAACCGAATAATTCGGCCGAATATCCGGTTCGGTACAGGTTAAACCGAATATTATTCGGTATTCGGTTATTCGGCAAAATCACTATTCGGCGTATCTCTAATTAAAATACATTTTTATTTGAAAAATCATAGAAAAATAATAAAACTCATTTTATATATAACTTATTTCTAGACGCTATAATTTTTGTCAACTATTTTTCTGCCAATGCTCTTTGGGATTAGGCTTATTACACCCTCTAGTTCATTTTCTATATTGTGCCGTTGTACGCTTTTTGTTTCTTAGGGGTGAAAACTACCCCTTATTGTCAAAAATTATAAAATAACATTAAAAACCTAAATATGGGTAAAAATAGTTAAATAATGATTGTTTATGCTTTAGGATACAATTTCATAATCTGTCAACGTACCCTTGTTAAAAACTACCCTTAAAAACATTGAAATTGTCAGAGCTTTCAATTTTTTTTCAAAAACGATTCTGTAGGGCTTTTCAGGAGCTATAAGACTATGCGAGTTAAATTACTTAAGATCCCTTAATTTTTAAATGGGGAGAGTTTTAAACTCTCCCCATTTTAAAATATTTAAGGCTTGAATAAGGTGATGTTCGATCGTAAATTCACTGTACAAAAAATCTGCACACAGGGAAATTTTTGTCATTAAAAAGCTACAATTTAGTACTATATCGTTTTTTTCGTATCTTTAGTATTTTGGGAGATATTTTTAAGAAAAGGGTTAAAACACGAAATTGAAAAAATCGTATTCTCTTTAAACTCCAATTTTTCTAAATTTAGGCATTTTAAATTGGTGAAACTTCGTGGGTGTATTAATAGTACATATATAAAGAGAATCACAGAAGGGTGGCGATCAATTTTAATTAGGGGGTACTTTGGGTGTTGTTTTCACAGATTTTTTTCGTAGAAAAAAGCGGGTACCGATTTTTGGCGATTTCAAACTCACTGGAGAAGGGTAGCGCACGACAGAACCCAGTGGAAAATGTTGGAGGAGGCCTATGCCA